AAGTTGAAACCAGCCAGCCTCAGGCAGCTGCAGCCACTGTGATCCTATGACCAAAGTTTCTGAGAGGCTTACCCTCAGTGAAGTCATTAACAGAGCAATTGCCCCAAGTTTTTATAGGCACATCAACTGGCAATGAGAGAACATGAGTTAATTTTTTTGGTCTTCTTGCTTATGACTTGAAGTTATTCTTTGTGTGTCTTGTTCCAGTACCATCAAAAGAAAAGAAAAAAAAAATCAGGGAGGTAGAGAGCACATCTCTCAGTTCCAGAAAGCACATTCTCACTCTGATGTTTCTGATATAGAATCTTAGAGTGGACTTAAGAGGAGCCAGCTGTGTGGGAGCACATATTGATGGCTTGGTTGGCAGTACTTCCCTGCTGAGTGCCAAGCTACAGATGCACTCCCAATCAATTCCCACACAGCTACAGTTCAGTGAACTATTCTGAAAGAAAGCAGCATGGCACTGGGGGCTGTGAGATCCAGAAACATCAGGGCAGGGTCCAAAGACAGCATATTTCCAAACAAAGCAGAGTGGCAGTAGCCCTAAAGAGGCAAAGTGACAAGAAAATAAGGAAGAAGTAAACTAAGGCAAAGTGTGTGTGTATGTGTGAGTGTAAAATAGATATGATAAAAAGAGACATTGGTTTTTTATTAACATTGTAGAATGAGTTTGTTAGTTGTAAGATAAAATACAGGGGATTACCCTATGTAGTGGAGACCGTATACTGGTTGTCGAATTAAATGAAATGAAATAAACAAATACAGTTCTTTTTTAAAAAGGACAAATATGAAAACAACAAAATGGAAAATATTTACATACAGAATATACAATCATTTTTAGTAAAATTTTTAAATAATCCCAAAATCTAATTATATAGCAATTACAGCATGCAAACTGACTTCATTTACATTTTATCTGTGAAATTGGATGTTATGTTCTACAGTCTCTTTCTAGCATTCAAGGTGGTCCTCTGGGGGTTTTCTCTGTGTTTATAAATGTGTATATACATTTATGATCTCCTAAATGGGACCTTCTGAAGAATGGAAAAAAGCCTTAAGATAATTTAAAAATACAAAATATTTTATATTGATTTAAAAAATAAGTTAGAATTCACCTTTTAAAATTCCAAAAGAAAAATATTTAATTTGCTTACATTGATCAAGAATGTACAAAAGTTCACTCGAGATGATAATTTTAAACTCAGTATCAAGTGAATTTAAAAACAGTTTTCTAGTACAAAAATAGCAGAGCCTGTTTTTGTTTCAATGCCATCAATTTTTAACTCAATGATACAAAAATAGGCAGTTTATTTAAAAATTCTCAGTGTTTTCTTGATGTTTATTGTCTATTGGTAAATTGGGAAACAATTTCTACCTAAGACAATGTAGGTAGAAATTCACAATGAACTAAAACCTAAATGTTACTTTTTTTTTTTTGTAAGCATCAAGGAGTAAATAAATCAGGATCAATGAACAAAAGTAGTCATATTTAACTAAGGCAAAAATGTACACATACATTTGTAATGGGTTTTATAGGACATGAAAGATAAGATAGGTATAGAAAAAAATCTCAGAGCTAAAGTTTCTAAGTGGAATATGAGTCATTTATAATATTGCAGAGTTTCTCTAGAAAGTATCTGGGACAAGCCACTTTCTAAGGTAGCCCAGATACAACTAAGTAGGTAGAACAATTCAATTGCACGTAAGATTATAATCAAAGATATCTTTTGCCATAGGCACTTTCATAGATTGTATTTTTATAAATATATATTTCTTTTGATGTAAATTTTTAATAATATTATAGAACAATTACTCTTTGATATTTACTTAATTCACATAACCTCAATTTTCTCATTGTTTCTTTCAATCACATTGTGAGGTTATTTTCCCATTATGTAGACATGAATCCTCTGTACATGATGGTGAATGAGAATACTAAAACAAAAATCATTTATTTCAATCTCTACTTTTCTTGACTCACCTACTTTCTTTTTTTTTTTTTTTTTTTTTTAATTACTCACTCCGCCCAGGCTGGAGTGCAGTGGTGCAACAGTAGCTCACTAAAACTTTTGCTTCCTGGGTTCAAGCAATTCCTCTCCTCAGCCTCCTGATTACAAGAGTATGCCACCAGGCCTGGCTTATATTTTGTTTTTTTTTTTNTTTTTTGAAGTTTAAACTGTTTATTCTTTCTAAAGAATCAACATACATAAAGTTATGAGTTAGGCTATGTATGACGGAAATAATTTATTCATAATGTACAGGCACATTACCATAAATATTGCACAATTGCACAAAATGTGCCTCTAACTTAAACCAGGAGACATACAAACATATTTAAAAAAATATTTCACTCTTCGTCCAGAATTTCTGGAGCATAGTGCTGCATGGATATTACGCACTTAATATATACTTCATGATTGATTGATTGGAACTTAATTAAGGTTCTCATCCTGTGAGATTCCTACAACAGCATCTAAGAAAACAGAATGAACATCTCCTATTTTTTGAAAGCTTTCTGTGCTTTTTCTATCTTTCCAGGATTTAAACCCAGCAACGGTGGTATCAGCAAATCTCCCTCGAGGTAAAAATATCTTTCTCTTTCTCTGAACCCCTTCTCTGTCCCCATGACACCCTGCTCCATGAAGTGCAAACAATCGATGGGTTTGCTATCAATCAATGAGTGCCTCTTCTACAAGGCAGAGAAATGTGGAGAATAGGCCTAGACTGTGAGGGGCTGAGGAAAGATAGCTGGCATTTCTTTACAACTTAACTGGCAGTATGAATTTGGCCACATCACTTCCCACCTGCTCTAGACCTCCTTTTGCTTATCTGCAAAGTGATAGTATTTGAAAGGTTAATTCTAAGATTCTGTCTAGCTCTCATGATCTCTGCTTCTATTTATAACATCTTTATTTCTTGGGGTAGGGGGTGGGAGAGCTCATTCAAAGAAAGAAATTTGGAAGAGTAGAAATGTTCTGAAATACACAGTTTGTTAAACTCATTCCAAAGAAGCAAACATTCTATTTTTCTCCTCAACTGCTTTCTTGTTTTAAGGTTTATATTTTCAAAATGATGCTTTCTGAATAAATATATGGTGGCAATAAAACCAGTCATAAAAGCAAACCAGTAAGGTGGCAATAAAATATGAATCATGGTTCCCAGGATCAGTAGCATTGTCAGAATGTACATATCACTGAGTATGACACTAACAATTGTTTTGTTCTCCAGGGGGGAGGCATGTGCTAACCTAGGACTGAGCAGACGTTGCGGTATAGAAGGGGAAAATAACATGAAAGAATTTCTCTATGTCTTAGAGCCAGTCTGGCTCAAAAAGTTACCATTTGGAAGAGCTGTAGTTGGATCCACATATAATCCAGCAGATAAAACAGCATCAACAAATTGGGGGAAGCAATTTCTGTCTTTGATTCCGTACTTAACAGGATGAGTGATGTTGAAGAAGGTTATTGACCTTTATATATCAACTTGTCCAGAGTGAACTAGTGAAATAAGAATCGACTTCCCTCACGTGTATGTGTTTCTTCATAAGACTAACATTTATAAAAGGTTTCAGTCTCTTTATAAGGAAGAACTCTGTAATAATAGCAATAGTAATAATAAGGACTGCAGTCATTTCCCACCACATATGTTCAGGAAATAAAATGAACAGTGTCACAGAGCAATTTGCTAAACTATATTTTGTAAGTACAAATAGGAATTTTCTGCATCACATACAATTCAGTCTATGGTATTAGGATGAACAGTAACCAAGGAGAATACAATACAGCAGCTGTAATTTAATGATCACACTAGACAGCCACCTCCCACATAGCAAGAGGTTATCATAATTATTTACATTTGGGTGTAGAAAGAAGACAAAATGTGTCATCTTTCTGGTTACTGCTTACATTAAAAAAAGGAAACACTCCTTTCAAAAGGGTGCAGTAAGCAATATGAATTAATTAAAATCCACTAACTTTGACACTGGAAGCATACATTTATATCCAATAAATAATTTCTCTAATTTAAGACAAGAGGTTCTCTTGGGAAGAGAAAATCTTCCAAAGATGTAGAGAAAGGAAATCATGACTTTTGATGTATCACTGCAGCCACATATCCAACAGTTGGCCGATACACTTTTGAGAATACACTGGAGAACCACAGATTCTGAGGGATCTACACCTTGCCTCCAGTTTCTTCCACTCTCAGACTTTCCATGGTTTATACTTGTATGTACACTGCTCCCTGGATATAGATAGGTGTTTACAGAACACGTATTAAAACCAGAGAGAGTAAACAGAATATCTATCTGAATTAACTTGAAATAGAAACCTTTTCCTGTCCAGCCACTTTGGGATAATCACATTTTTATTTGACTAGAAACAAGATTTAGGGATAAGATGGTCATAGATAGAGGTGCTTTTTCCAACCTTGTAATGAAATCACCTTCCTCTATTTTTACAACATTTTCTAAAATATTGAATTGAGCAAGAGTTTAAGAAAAGTCTTGCTTTGGTGTGTGTTTTCTGTCACGAATGTGGTGTTAAGGATAAAAATGTACTCCATGCTCATGAATACATCCTCACCAGTTTACAAAGGGGAGTGAGGTTGTGAAATTCAGCAAGCACATCTGAGCAAACCATGTGATTAGGATGATGGGGATTTCTAGCTTTATTTAGGAGAAAAGAGGACTCTGAAGGGCCAGGACCAGGACCAGTTAGGCAAAATGTAAAGCAGATCGGAGTTTTAAAATGCACTAAAAAAAAAGCTCAGAATATTTATAAAGAAGGTATATGGAGTCACTTTTAGAAGTAAGAGAATTGGGCAACTAGATGAAAGTGGAGGTTACTGGGAATATTTTACCTAAAAAGGAGCTTAGAGATCTACTTACCTATTTCACATCTGTTTTGAGATCATGCTCTGAAAACTCTATTTAGTAGCCAGACTTATTATTTTGGTTTATTTTATTTTATTTTATTTTAAGTTCTGGGATACATGTGCAGAAAAACATGGAATGCTTCACTAATTTGTGTGTCATCCTTGTGTAGGGGCCATGCTAATCTTCTCTGTATTGTTCCATTTTACTGTATGTGCTGCTGAAACAAGCACCAGACTTTATTCTGTATTCTCTGAATACCAGGTATTTGATTAGATTTAGCAAACAAGTTACTTACCATGTTATACGATGCTTCCCAAACAACACAGTAAAGCTGCATTTCATTGGAAGTCAACTATTGCACTCAAATTCATATGAGCTACACGAGATAAATAAAAAATACAGTCATCAATTTAAACATATTAATTGAGTGACTACAATATGCCAGGTACCATTCTGGATGCCTAGTATACATTGAGAACAACTGCAAATAGTACTGATTTTATTCTAGTGGGGAAGGAGACAGATGGTAAACATGGAAAACATGTACTGTGTCAGAATATCAGAAGTTTATGGTGGAAAACAAAGCAGGAAGGGAGCCTATGGAGTGCCAAGCCTGGTTGATGGAGTGAAGATGTGCAATGTCATCTAGAAAATTCTAAGATAGGTGCTCTGAGAAGGTGGCATTTAAGCCACAACTTGAAGCTCAGATGAGCCCACTGTCAATGAAACTTAGTTAAATTTTGTTTGATTTTTTTTACCTTTATCAATATAGATTCACTCTCATGAAGTACATAATGTAAAATATAATTATTCCATCTTGTCTTATGTTTTATCCAAGAAAGACTGCAAATCTAAGATCTTGAGGAATTTAACTTTCTTAAATCTTCACACTTGTCTGTGAAAGCACTTACCCCATAAGAAAAAAACGTAACCTTTGTCCTTTACTCTAACGCAACGCAGTGTGTGGCAGACAGCATAAGAGTGAGAACTAAGAAACCTGAGTTCTAGTTGTATGATTTATATATTAATTATTAACTTCAGTTTGTTCATTTTGGAAATGAGGGCATGAAACTATTTCAATATTTTCAAAAGGAGCACAACATTCCATGGAGCACTTGTGCTGGAAACACTTTGAAAATCAAGAGTGGACAATTAAATTTGGAAGCATCATGCATCAGATGGCCTCTAACTAAAGAATCCAAAGGCATTTCATCAGGTTAAAGAAACCGAGGAGGTAGTATAATAACAGGAAGTAGAATAAAAGGAAGCCATTTAGCAATAAGGTTTGTTTAACTCAAAGATTCCTAAACATATTAGAAGAAACTTGGGAAACACTGAAATAAATCAAATGCTAATGTTCTTACAGTTAAGAAATTCTTTAAGTGTTCTTTTGCATTGTTAGTTCCATTCTACTGTATCCATAAAAATTACCTAATTATGCAGAGATTGACAACCACGTGAAAATCTCAAACACTTAAAACAATAAAACTTATTCACCATGTGCATAAGTAAGGCTCTAGCCTTTGTTCCACAGTTTTCTCCCTGCGTTTTCCAACAGGGTGCAACTACAGTCTAGGGCATGATTCGTCACTCTGGCATAAAAAAGAGAGGCTACTGTGACCTAATTTGAAGTGTATTTAGAAGTATATGTTTAATTTGTGCTTGAAAAAGCACAGTTATTGGTGAAAGCACTAATGAATCCATATTTACCTCCTGAAATAACCTCATGGTTATATTAAATCTAATAAATGCTAGATTTTATAAATTTTATGTTGCTGACTGCTGGCTTTTGTGGTATTCCAGTAAGACTTTATTCTGGTAACGATAGGTTACTTGTGGATAAGCTTTATCTTTTTGAGACTTCAACTTCATTTTGGATAGGCCTAGAGTAACCTTTTTTCCAAATGCTAATTTAGCCTTGTTTCTGAGGCATGACCCTCCTTTCATGGTCTCTATTGAATATTTTGATGATTCAAGGTTTCTCTATTCTGGTTAGGGGAAATTTCAACAATTCTTGGCCATGTGTAAACTCTGAATAGTATTCAGCACCCACTCTCCAGTAATTGTTGTTTCTGCAGAAGTTCTTGTTGCCTAGACTTCCGGTGATTCACTCCATGAATGCAGGAGGTTGATATTAAGCCAAAGATTCAAGGAATTGCAATGTGTGTTTTTGGAACTCTTCCTCTGTATAGCTCCCTCCTGTAAATGCCCTGCAAATTCTACCCACCTCTTCACTCAGGGAGACCAGCAGGCTCTACTTGGATTTTCCCGTCCCTGCATTGCAGTATAGAAATTTTCGCTAGGCAGAAAGCCTGGGCAACAATAAGTCTCATTTCTTTGGCTCTTTTCTGTCAAAGATCGTAGTGCTGTGCTGTCTGCTGCTCAAAGTATGAAAATAGTTATTTCCTACATTTTGTCCAGTTTTCTAGTTGTTTATGGCAGGAGGCAAATTTCAAACCCTGTTATTCCCTCATGGCTGGAAACTCGGGTTTCCTAAATCTAAATTTAGGCCTTGTTGTATAAATACTTTGTTTTTCAGCATGGCAAAGCATCATGTCTTGAATGCCAACAAAATGGATTTCTTGTTTTTTCCGTGGGAGAACAGAAAGCCATAAACATGAGAAACTCCGAATACTATACTTCCAATTTTCTGAAATGTAAGCCCTGGAGCCAATAGGAAAAGTATATGCTGACCTAAGTAACTGTCAAGATATGTAAGCAAAGAGACCATTTCTAAGGCAACCAACTTATTTTTTCATGAAGCATCAATACACAGTAAAAATATTCAGTTTCTAGAAATATTTGTCTTGAAGTCAAATAGAAACTAAAATATATTATCAAGGAAGTAGTACAAACCTAATCTAGAAAAGTAACAATAATTTTATTATACATCACGTATCTTGGTAAGTTAACTTGATACATTGGAATATCAAGTATCTCCTGGTACTAATTATGACATTAAATAATAACCTTAAAACTTGTCATGAAAGGACCAAAATAGAATCTGTAGTTTGTCATGTTGCAATATCCTAGTGCCTAGAGCATATTGTCACCCAATAGATATTACTTGAAGACTGGATGAATGAAAGAAAGATGACAAGAAAAGTTGAGCTGTTAGGATGCAGTAAAAATTATTTCTTAGAAGGAAGGTGTTTCTCTTTACTTCCTTGAAGTAGTGAGTTCTGAGAAAGTGTCTAAGGCCAAGAATGATTAGTTTTAGCATCAGACGGATGGATATATTTCTCATGAGAATTCTGGAGACTGCAATAATAATAATAATAAATAATGAATGGTACAATAGTGATGTAGTAATAATAATGAATGATCATGATAGCGAATAATGATAGTGAATTATTCTTGTGTACCTTCTATGCATCAAATGCTGTTCCATGCACTTATATAATGTTTACCTCATTGATCCTTTACCAGACTATGAAATGGATACTACTACCCCATTTTTATAGTTACGGAGACTAAGGTATAGGGATAATGAGTGAATTGAGCATGGTGATGGAGCAAGTTAGTGTCAGATAAAGGTTATAAATCTACAGTCTGGTCCTAGTGCCATCAGTTTTAACTACAGGGCTATGCTGAGTCTCTGTATACAGGGACAAAATATAAAGGAGCCTGCCAATATGAAAAGTATAGAAAATCCTTCCAGATGTTAAAATATAAAACTAATGATGAATTTTAATTTTTTTTTTTAATTTTAGTAGAGACAAGGTCTCAATGTTGCCCAGGCTGTCTTCCAACTCCTGAGCTCAAATGATACTCATGTACTCCCAAAATGCTAGGATTATAGGTATGAGCCACCCTGCCAGGCTATAGTTTTTTAAAGTCAGTTCAAGTGTTCTATTCAATATTGGAAGTCCAGTGGCAGTCTGCTTCCATTCTATTTATTTCTCTGTACACGTTGTGATGAATGATAAATTGTTTTCCATTTATTTTATTTATTCCTGTGATTTAGCTTATGGAGAAGAATAAAAGGGTTAAAGTTCACAGGCCCAAAGCAGAATTTACCAGAAATGAAGATATGTGTAATAATTTCCAAATTGTATTTACGGATACCATTTTATTCTATCGATTGGAACTGTACTCAGCAAAGGGGATCATAGAAAGGAAATAAGAGAGAATGAGAAATTGAAACAAAGCATTGATGGAAGTTTCCTAACAGCAAAATCGAGAAGGCTGTGCCATCCCAGGGGAAGTGGGGGTGGATCTGATGCCTGAAACAATGAGAGCTGTGATGGAATCAATGGCAGCGGATTCCGTAATTACTAAATTAGACTGTTCCATTTCTGGATAATGCACGCTGCATTTTGATCTTGATTTAAAATCCAATTAGTTCAGGATCATCATTCCTTTTAGTTCTAGCTTCTCTCTGGTGACTTTGAGACCACAGCAATAGCGTAGTATTTTTGTGTTTGTTCTTTCATGTCTTTGAAGATATGGTTTTTAAAATCTATGGCAACAGGTGCCCTCTGCTCCCAGTCTTACATATTTTACTGATTACTCTCTTGGTTTATTCTCACATTCTCTCAAGTCGTAGTAATCAGTGAAATGCTACATTGATACACGCTTGGCTTTTCCAATAAATGATGACAACCAACCATGACACGCTTGTCTTTGAAATCGCTGCTACCTTTCAATTTTTATAAAAAAGTTTTATTTACTAGATAGTTTGCCTTTGTGGGTTGGTGTTATTCTTAAATCTCTTTCTTTCCTTTATAAAATCAAAGGGGCAAGGCTTACATCATGAAGAAAAAAACATTTAAATGAAAAGAACATATTTTCGGTTTGTCAAGTGTGAGAGATGAAGACTTCTGACAGCATAGCATTTGTTTTTTCATTTTCTAGTGAAGGTAAGAAGGGAACTTCAGGAAGCTCATTGAAATAGCTTCAGTTTGCTCACATGACTATAATAGCAAGTAGTTGATTGAAGATAATCTGAAATAGTTTCAGCAGAAAGACTTCAGGATTTATATGTTAGAAATATATAAACCTGTGGTTCATGATTATGAAATTATTTTGAATGTAGTTTTGTTTTTTCTTGTTGAATATACAAAGAGAAACCTCTGCAATTGTGGTATAATATAAATTATAAAAATATAATTTTCATACTGAAGCATGAATAGTTATAGTCTACAATAATTTTATACCACAAGAAAGAAAGCAGGCGCTGTTTTCCTCCATGAGCTTGCTGAAGAAAATGTGAAACACTGATTGAGAG